TGTGTGTGTGTGTGTGTGTGTGTGTGTGTGTGTGTGTGTGTGTGTGTGTGTGACGGACAGATCAGCAGATAAAATATGTCCTCAGCAGCTTATCATGTCTTTCATTCCTCCGTTGGACATGTCCAAACATGGACGGGTTTTAGTGAAGAATGTGAGTCCTTAGGGGGACTTCCATCATCAGAACCTGGACTGGGCCCTGCAGGGAACACAGAACAAAGTTCTGCTCATGGAAAACTTTTGCAGTTTGACCTGCATCATCATGTTGAAGCAGCTGATGTCCAAAGGGACAGAAAGTGGACAGAATCTGATCTGGTCTAAATGTGTCTCTTGTCCTTCCAGCCTTCCTTCACTCCCCCCATCAGCCTGTCTACACGGCCACCAAACACGGAGTCATCGGCTTCACCAGAGCCATGGCGGTGAGTCCCAACACACGGGGTTAAACTCTGAGTCAAACGTTAGCGGTCCTGACCCGTCTCGTCTCAGGACGCCTCGGCTTACGGAGACTACGGAGTCCGGATCAACGTCCTGTGTCCCGCCTTCGTGGACACGCCGCTGCTGGAGACAGTAAAAGACGAGGACAACATGGGGAAGTTTGTCAAGTTCAAGGATGACTTCAAACGCAGCATGGACAAGTTTGGAGTCTTACAGTGAGTCTAGACACACTGCATGATAGAGCTTTAAAGCTGCAGAATCAGTTAGCTGGGAGTGGCTAACATCCTGACACTTCCAGAGTGCTCATTTCAAAGTTTACCTGCTGTTCTGATCATTTTAACTTCAAATGTTTGGTTTTAGCCTCTTCAGCAATCTTTCAGCAGCTCCTGACTTTTCTTTAACAGTCAAAAAAAAACTTTCAACTGTCTTTAAACTTTCAGCAGTCTTTAAACTTTCAACTGTCTAAACTTTCAACTGTCTTTAAACTTTCAACAGTCTTTAAACTTTCAGCAGTCTTTAAACTTTCAACAGTCTTTAAACTTTCAACAGTCTGAACTTTCAACAGTCTTTAAACTTTCAACTGTCTAAACTTTCAACAGTCTAAACTTTCAACAGTCTTTAAACTGTCAACAGTCTTTAAACTGTCAACTGTCTAAACTTTCAACTGTCTTTAAACTTTCAACAGTCTTTAAACTTTCAGCAGTCTTTAAACTTTCAACTGTCTAAACTTTCAAC